AGTTAATCACAATTGGTGAGTACATTCTATCTTTCTCTATATATATTTTGATTTTATGGTTACATGTTGATCCTGAGGAAGACCCGAATGGGTCGAAACGTTGATCAAGCAACCTGTAAACCTTTTATGGATTAAAGACTGCTAAAATTCTTAAAAAGACCGAAGAGTGCATCTTTTTTCAATATAACTATTTATCAGCACAAGATTGAACCAGGGCACTTCTATTATTCATTATACCAGTAAGGGCGAGGGCCATCATTTGTGAGATATATATATATATACACACACACACACACACACACACACACACACACACTTCACTGGGAAACCCACCCTTACTTCATATAATTACCAAATCCTCACTATTTATCTAATAAAACCCCAAACTTAATATCTGTATTAAATGACAACACTCCAAGTTTTACATAACCTTTATAGGTACACCATTTTGGATAATTCAAGTTTCCAACAATCACTAGCCTGTCCAATAATTTTTTTCCCCATTCCTCACCTTCTCCTTCACTTATCTAACAATGTAAATCTAAAATCTAAATCCACTCAATATAACTGCAAATTTATGACATCCTTTAACCACTAACCGTTTCCTCAACAAGTTTGATCGTTGATGAGGCCGATATACAGAGAGTTCACCTTTGTCTACGTCCTGTAGTTGACCTCTAACCTATTATTCATATACATTGTACCCAAAATCATCGATATAGTTAAACACACTTGCTTGATATGCCTCTTTCAATTTTTTCAAATGTGAATTCTGGATTCAATGTACTGTTACTGTCCTGTATAGACTGCAAACAACTGTTAACTCTGCTTGTAAAACCTACCTTTTGAAAAGCTCAATAAAAACATAATAAACAAATTATACAGCAATAGCATGATGGGGATAGTAAAAAAAAATACTTTTTTAGTTGGCATTAGTGGACGTATTATTGGCATGGGTCTGACGCTGCTGCATCTATGTTAACTTCCATTAGCTCACCCGAGCTAAAACCTGCAATTCAGGGCTTTGCTCAGGAAAGTCAATCGAAATTCTTACTTAGAAATGTATGGCTTTCTGGTAGTAGATGCAGGGAGCAGTGCCCGGTGAACTCCATGCAAGAAGTCAAACCATTCTAAAATGACTTGACTCATTACCATGGGGGGTTGTGCCAGAGTGCTTGGCTTGTTCCTTTTATTTAACAGGAGCCTCATCAGTTTGTACCTATCGTTACTCATGTTAAAATGAGAAACATTTTTTAACTTGCTTCTATAGACCAGCAATTACTATAATGTTGTTTTCCTTGTTAGTGTAATTCTCACCAGACCATAACATTCCTTACTTGTAATGGATGGGGCAGTGGTTTACTCAAAATATTCTAGACTTGCTTTGGAACCAGAAGTTGTTTTGTAAAAGTTTTAAACATTATAAATTGCCTTTTTTGAGAAGGTGAATAGCAGATAAACCACACATCTATATGTCTACTATTCTCTAGTACTTAAAACAAACTGAAACATAGAAACATATAATGTGGCATCAGATCAGAATCGTTTGGCCCATCTGGTCTGCCCAATTTTCTAAATACTTTCATTAGTCCCTGATCTGATCTTAAGTCTAGGATAGCCTGATACCACGCATGCTTAAATACTTCCTGATATAATTTTTAAACCTTTGCCCCTCTAATTTAAGACTATGTCCTCTTGTTGTGGTAGTTTTTCTTCTTTAAATACAGTCTCCCCCTTTACTGTGTTGATTCCATTTATGTATTTAAATGATCCTATCCTATACCCACTGTCTTGTCTTTCCTCCAAGCTATACATGTTACCAAGTTTTTTTTTGTTTTTTTTATTGGTCCAATGTATTTAATGGTATAAAGGTTTCTGAAAATGTTTCCCTTGTATCCAATTCTTTTTAACTAATGGAATACCTTGGTCTTTGAGAATCATTATTATGGACCTTGCACAAATGTCCCAATTTTTTTTAAACCTTTAACCACATTGCACTCCTGTTTTGCCAAACGATCTTTTGAAATTATTTATTTGGAAAATATCTTTCAATTTGCACGGGCAAGTTATTAAATGATTTATTCAAAAGGCTTTATTAGCACAAAATAAACAGTTACACAGTAAGCGATAAAAGAGTCAATATATGCATGAAACTCGCAGGTCTTGCTGCCATCAATCAATAAGGCATTGAGATACATGAAATCCGAATTATAGTTACGTAGAGGGTAATAGAGAGCAGCTATAGGTACATGTGTGTATATATTATAACCAGCAAACTATGCTAAGATTCATATGGAAGGGTAACAGACCCTTGTGTGGCAGCCATAAGCATCTTGTGTTTGTTCTGTATTCAGTCTGGCGGATATAATGAGATGGGGATGTGTGGTCGTTATCTGATCCAAGTAAGTGTTATCCTACAATCCATGAACCAATTTAGTATCCCTTCTCTGAACTCTTTCCAAAGTTTAAAGTTCTGTGTGTCCCAATAGATCACCAATCCTCCTTTTTTTTTATTTTTTATTTTTTACATATTCTGCTCAGAGAACTAATAAATGGGGTCTAGACGAGAATATGAAATATTATACTTGTTATCATCTATGAGAAGCTTTTCCTATGGAACAAACTAGTGTACAACTGTACAGAGGATTTGGTTGTATTTTTCTTTGTATGAATTTAGATTAAGGTGATCTATATGTCAGATTTATTCTAAAAATAGATTTGTTCAGTCATTCCCCATAAAATAGTTTGGAGACATCTGATGAACCAGTAATACAATTCAAGATAAATATTACATTTGTATTTATAAACAGACCTGGGAGCTATGTGTATGTGATACTAATGCCAATAGGAACTGCATAGTGTTCAGAGGCCTTTTGGTACATTTGGGCTGTGAAGCAATGTGTTTGTTATATTGATTTTTAATTCCATTGTAGCACTATTTGTGTTTCTGTCTGTGATAGTTACTAGCTTCAGCATGCAAACTCCTTCGGGTGAATACAAAGAATATACTTTTAACCAAGCATGCCCTTCTCATCCAATTCTCTTCTGTAAATCATTACAGTGTAGCTAATTTTAATTTTACTGCTAGGATCCCATAGGATTTATCTGATTTTCAGTTCTACGGTGAGTTACAATGCATCAGAGACCCATTTGCTTGCTTTGGTACTGTTGATCTGATCTTGCAGTTGGCCGTTCTACCATATCTACCAACATTTGAAGGTATGGATTTGTCACAGTAACTGGTTGTGCCGCCAGGAGACATTGATGAGTGATGGGAAAGGGCAGGTCCACCCAGGATGTGGACTGGCTACCTGAATAGGGATGGCGCCGGCATCTCCGGCATGCCGAGTGCACTAACTTGTCCCACTAAAACTGGCTGTAGACTGTATCTAGAGTTTTAGAATATTTATAGATTTGTTGGTTCTGTTTAATTTTCCTAAAATTGCCTCTTTAGTTATACTCTTTTTTTGCACAACTGCACGGTTCTATGACTCTCTTATTTTGCATGACTGCATGGTTCTATGACTTGTAAATATTCAAAGCCAATACCCTGAATCCCAATAAAGCTTTGATAAGTATGTGTAGGTTAAGAGCATTGGCCAATGATTTATTGCACAAGCATGATTAACAATAATTTGGAATGTATGCTACTAGCTACTGCCAAAATATTACCAGGGGTTCTAGTCCTGTGTACAAGAACAAAGGCAGACGAGTAGGGACTTATATAAAGAGCTGTGCTGCCTGGCTAAAAAGAAAAACCCATTTGTATCTCTTGTTTTTGTAACCAACATCATAGTTTACAAATATTGAAAACAAATCACATTTTATTAACCCTTTAGCAAAGTTAGGATGTGTCATTACATCATAGAAAGCATGGGCCTTAATGACATGTAATGACGTAATGACCTGTCCTAACATTTTTGTGTGTGCATATTAAGTGACTCCAGACTGGCAGATGAGCTGCATGCAGTACTCAAAATGAGAGCTGCATAACTCCCTGTATCTGCAACATGTTGTGAGCTGGATGAAATCCCTGCTCCCATCAGGGAGACCCTCTTTCAGCAGGGGTCATATTTAGTGGCCCCAGATTGACCATGAGATGTGTGCAGCACTCAAAGTGAGCCTTGCATATAACTTTAAATAGGGATTTAAATCCCCAGTTTAAAAGTCTAGGGTGAGCAGCGTTAAATCATGCTGCATACAGCCCTTTAAATCAAATGAAAACACTGATTTTCTAGTTGCCTGTTACTAAGGGGGGCCCTAGGGATCCAATCTGACCCTGACAGGGTCTCCATGCATGCCTCCCTTTTCAATTGCGGGTCTTTGCCACCTGCCCATCACTTATCACAGTGTAATCGGCAGAAAAGCATGCTGTAGTTTCAGCATTAGAAGGATATTTTCTTGTCATGCTAAAAACCACCAGTGGATGGTGGTCACAGACTGCTCTTGCCACAATTTTACCAAGAAAATCCATCTGGTGATACAAGTACTGAAATTAGCAGAAGGATTTCCTTAGGGCTACAGGTGGAGTTCTGTTTAGGGGTAACGATAGTGTTAGGGTAGGTTGGTGTGTGGTCCTTCTTTTTCTTCCCGCGCCCATGATCCAAGGGGTCAGGCAGGGTGTGTTCGTAGTTAAGATGTTGGTATTGGGGTACAGGTACAATGGGGGATTTTAGTGCTATGGGGAGCGGAAGCTGTGGATTCAAGCGTCGCCGTCCATCTTCCTCCGAGGTCAGGCTCCGTTCCGTCACTGAAGGGGTTTTAACGGATTTGTTTTCCTGGCACTGGAGAGTCCCTTTAACTTACCCTAACACAAACCCTACACTAACCCAAACTCCTCCAAGAAACGCACTTTGACAAAGCAAGACCCTTCCCCCTTAAAATTAGGAACTACACAGAATGCCACTTGGCTAACTCCCTGAAATCAGGCAGTATATACAACATGAACTTAGGGACTATTTCACTATGAACAAAGTCTCAGTACCCTCGGTGGGCACACTATGGGCGGCACACAAGGTACTGTAATGAGAGGTAAACTGATCGCACTAGCCACCAAATTCAAAAGACAAAAATTACAAGAACTAGAAGACCACCTACTCTCACTGCGGACCCTAACGACCCAACATAAACGTGACCCCACTCCAGATCTGATGGCAAAGATCAAAACCCACCAACAGGCCATCAAAACATTCAAGACCAGAGACCCCAAAAAGCGCTTCAGTGGACTCAACAACTCTTCTATGAGAAGTCCAATAAAGCGGACACTCTTCTCACCTGCAAACTCCGCCGTAAAACCCAGGCCAAACAAATAGACAAAATTAACTCGCCCAAAGTTAGCACTTACAATACTCCCGAACGCATAGCCTCCATCTTCTCCAACGACTTTTCCTCGCTATACGACCACAATCCTGACACCCGCCACCATCAAACCCGCTTCCAAAAAGCCATAGAAACCTATTTAGCTGAGATTTCCCTCCCTCCCACGGACACGGCGATAACAAAACTCTCTGCCCCCATCACGACGGAAGAAATAGCGCACATGTTAAAAACTATCAAACCAAACAAATGCCCGGGACTGGACTGCTTTACTTGCCTCTACTACAAGACGTTCTCGGATGTCCTGTTACCACACCTCACTACACTCTACAATTCACTTTTACGGGGTGACGCAATACCAGAGGATATGCTGAGGACGAATATTTGCCTCATCCTGAAGCCGAACAAAACACACTTGGACCCAGGACACTATCAACCCATATCCCTCCTCAACGTAGACACTAAAATATTCACAAAACTCCTGGCCAACCGCATATAGCCCTTCCTCACAAAATTAGTTCACCCTGACCAAGTAGATTTGATACCCTCCAGACAGGCGTGCGATAACACCAGACGGACACTGGACCTGATCTGGGTGGCCCAACATAGACAAATCCCAACCTTGCTCCTCTCGATGGACACCGAAAAGGCATTTGATCATTTGTTGTGGCCTTTTCTCTTCGCCACCTTACAGAAATTCAGATTCCCCACACCCATCATCACAGCCCTAAAAACCTTATATAGCCAACCTATAGCCACACTCCTCATACTCTGCTAACCCCTCTCCCACATCAAACGCCCCCACCACCCCCCACCCACTTTCCACACCTAAACCTACCAATAATACCCTACTACGGCAACCATGCTCATCAAACCCACAACCAACAGGAGGAGCGCCGTAGGGACGCTAACCTCTGACGGGACGAACACATCAAAGCCCAAACAGACCGACATAGGATACCTGGGGATGTACGTCCCGACTCCACACAGATTTCCCCCAACCCTCATATAACGCAAGAACTCCATGACCTCGACAGCCTCACAGACACCAATCATCTATAACAATGACTCGCACAATATAGGGGAATCCACCCCCACTAATAGATATAACGAGCCATATGACAGAAATTTCACAGAAAATTTACATGCCAATACAAAACTCAAACAGAGGCTGACACGGTGCAAACAGAGAACTGATGACACCACTTGTAATGCAATTAGACAATTGTAGACAATTGCTTCAATTAATCTAAAGCAAATTGTACCCCCTCTTTAGTCTTCATTCTGTATCCCACTAGAAACGTTGACGCAACCGGAAAAATAAAGAATTTACAAAAAAAACCTCCAGGCTCCGCCCATGCTCCTCCCCCGCATCAGCCAGCGGGGGAGACCTAATGTGAATTCACTACCATCTGGAAGTTATATCACTTTTGTTTCTGTTTTAAAGGACCACTATAGGCACCCAGACCACTTCAGCTCAATGAAGTGGTCTGGGTGCCAGATCCAGCTAGGTTTAACCCTTTTTGCAGTAAACATAGCAGTTTCAGAGACTCTGCTATGTTTACAATAGGGTTAATCCAGCCTCTAGTGGCTGTCTCATTGACAGCCGCTAGAATTGCTTCCGCGCTTCTAACTGTGATTTTCACAGTGAGAAGACGCCAGCGTCCATAGGAAAGCATTGAGAATGATTTCCTATGAGACTGGCTGAATGCGCGCGCGGCTCTTGCGCATTCAGCCAGGGACGTCAGAAGAGGGAGGAGAGTCCTGGCGCAGACACTGGAGCTGTATTGAAGCTCCAGGAAAGTGTGAGTGCACATCTTTTATTTTACTTATCACCACTACAGTTTTAAATACTACACTATTATTCCTTCTCTGGTTCTCTTCACGTATACCTGTCAAGGATTACTGAAGCGCTGCACCTACCCCCCTGTTTTTAGACATTAAATCTTTGCCCTTCTTAGGCAGAGTGTCTGAAAGGGGAAGCTAGCTATTCCCTTCTCACCCTCTGTACCTGTGGGTTCTCTCTCCCTCCATTGCATGCAATTAAAAAAAACCAAAAAGCATAATTTCATCTCAGGGTTTAAATGCCTCTAGTGGCTGTCTGAGTGACATAGCCAAGTGACAATCGGTTAATTCTATCAGATGGTCTCACAGAGAGCGCAGCGTTTTGACATGCATGCGCACTAGACTCTCAATACTTTCCTATTGGAAATAGTTGGAGTGACTGAGATCCTGATTATGTCAGCCAAGGATGCATGATGGTAGTGCAGAGACTGGTAGTGGAAGGAAAAAAAAAGGTAAGCAAAAGACTTTTATTACTGTCTACAGGTGGGGGCCGGTGCCCTAAATGGCTACCAGGACACTATAGCGTTAGAAATACACATTTGTGTTCTTTTAAATATAATAATCTAACATTAAGGTACCAAATTATGGTGCTATCCTCTAATTTGGTGTCTATAAATGAGAATCCTGTATTAGGATAGCAATCTCATAAACAGTTAAAATACTTATTTTTTCTTCTTACTTTCCTCTTTCAGTTGCTTAGTGAATAAGTCCCTAATTTGTTACTTTTAATTATGGCAATCCCACATAAGAATACCAAATTAGGAGTTACCTTCTAAACAGCCGAAAGAGTAAAATTACGAAAAAGCTCTACCCGTTCCAAATTCGTTAATTATCAGTTTGTTTTGGTCTATAAAGAATTGGAAATTTGGACTCTTCTAAATTGCAGAAGAACAACATTTGAAACAAATGGCGCATATCTAATCTTTATGTTCCAAATTGTTTAGATGATTTAAAATGTTTGTGAGTTATTTACTCCCACTGCAGAAGCTGTGACTGTGAAAAATAAATATATTTTTTGGTTTTATTTATTTACTGCATATTGCTTTTCTATTAACCACCTAACTGCTGACACAACCTGTCTCAGCAATATACCAGCCCTAACCCTGACAGGAGAACAATCTTTATGTTACAAACGTCTTAAGAAGATCTAAAATGTTTGTGAACTGATTGATTTAGTACCACTGCAGAAGCTGTGACTGGAAAAAAAAACAATTTAAATGGAAAGATGGAATTATTCTCTGTTTACATCTAGACAGTGATTGTTGACCTGAGAAATGGCTTAAAAGCTTTGTGATGATAAAATTCAAAGCTCATATTCAACATAAGAAAATATTACTAATTTTATAGACCTTTAAAGGATAAATTAGCTCTGTTGGTTCAGTTGGTATTACGACTGAATACCCCTATCAGAACTATTTCTTCAACTTACAAAACCATTGTTTTTATAAAAGAAGAAAAAAATCTGTGGCTCTGACATGACATGTTTTTGAAATTAGTGTATTTGGGATTACAGGTTTCCAGAACCCTAAAACTTGTAATTGGAAAAGATGTGTGCCATATAATTTACCCAATCACATCGTCCCTTGGTGTATCTATCTTCAGTTTTACTCTCTGGCAGGCCTGGACTGGCCATCGGGCAAAATCCTCGATCTCCCTGGTTGGCCCATGCAGGGCAGACCCTCAGTGAGCGCGCAGCCTATATATGTAATAAAGTCCCTTCAGGGGCCAGTGGGGAAAGCAGAGATCTCCCTCACTGGCCCCTAACTGAGACATGCAGAGCGGCACAGGGATGTTGAGTCTCACCTAGGGCCGGCACGTCCTATAGGCGATTTAGGCAGTGTCCTAGGGTACACCGGCTGGGGGTCGCAAGATTTAGAGGTGAGCCGGAAGGAGGGAAGCGCACAGCACTCAGTGTAGCGTGCATGGGCCGTGCGGATCGCGGTACAGGAACATCTGTTTCCTGTACCCGGCCAGACTGACAGAAAGTGCTTACTGAGAGAGCACTTCATGTCAGTCCAGGCAGGGAACAGGAAACAGAAGCTCCTCTCCTGTGGTCCTGCCACACTTCAAAAGGTAGAAGTCACACTAGAGAGGGGAGGAAAGACGGAACTAAGGGATGCAGGGGTGTGGGAGGAAAGAGGAGAGACCATTAAGGGAAAGATGGGGTGGGGAGAGGAAGAGCACTATAGAACAAGGGGGAGGAAGAGAATTAGGGGATGGGGGGCAGAGAAAAGCACTATGGGATGGGGGGCAGGGGAGAGCACTATGGGACGGGGCAGGGGAGAGCACTAAGGGATAGGGGGCAGGGGAGATCACTAAGGGGCAGGAGAGATCACTAAGGGACAGGTGGGGAGGGGAGATCACAAAGGGACAGAAGGGGAGACCATTACCCTCCTATCAATAAATACATACACATGCTTTCTCGCTCTCTCTCTACAAATGCTAGACAGACAGACGCGCACATACAATTTCTACAGCCCCTAGACGCACACACTTTACACCCAGTGAAAATACATACACACTACAGTCCCTAGCCACAAATAGTACACCACAGACTCCTTTACACACACTACACCACAAACTGTCACCTTTAAGCACACGCAATTCTACAATTAGCCTCCATTTACATTCAGCACCACAGAGAGCTTCCCCACACATACACAAAATGCTTTACTGGCCATGCCCCATTTTTGTCCACTGGTATCCCTCTTTTCGGGACACCAGAGACAAGTCACCAGGAAACGCAGAGCTGTGCTGTGTAAAATAAACACAGGGCATTGCTCCTCTGCATGAGCTTTTCATCAAACTAACATACTCACTTTGAGTTGGCGTGTGTCATTGTTGATGACATGATATGTCCCCTCTCTGTCCCCACCCCCACCTACTGGGCTTCTCTGCCTTTAAATGCCCGGACTGCATTTTTTTCCCAGTCTGGCCCTGCTCTCTGGGCAACCTCATCTGCCAGTTGTATAGCTATCCACACAATTACTGTATCCTTGTGTATGTTTTGTGTACAAAAAACAAAATTATGACACATATAATCTTGTGTTTTTTTACTTCAGAAACCACCAATCTTCTTGTCCTGCTCAATGACATGTAGCTCACAAGTAGAGATTGTTGACTACCATCAATAGGGGGTTGTAATTAAGAA